CCTTCCCACCAAAGTGGTACCTATTTATCTACTTGCAATTTCTTGCTTTCGAACTGCTAGGTTGGCAGGAGCTGGAACTAGAGACGGGAGCTCACTCCATCATGCAGCACCCGGGTCTCGAACTGCTGAACTACTGACCTTCCACAGCCTGCAGTTCAGCGTCTTAACCACTTGAGCCACCGCAGCTCCTTTGTTTTCTTTAGTATGATGGTAATCCTTACACTATTTCTCCTCCCCCAAAACAAAATTTAAGTAGCCAATTTCCCGCTCTTTACCCTCCATTGCAAGTCAGCACTCAGAGTCAAATTAACAGCACACAGCCATTTGTCATGTTTCATAAGATGTGTTAATTCTTTAGTCAAGTTAAGTCAAAACCTTATAACTTTTCAGCCAGCCTTTACTTACCTTGCAGGACAGGTGGCTTTGTATAGCTGGCAGGAAACATTCTCTTGCTCACTACTTTTTCTGGGCTGAAAGCCCTTCCTTCGGGGTCCATACTGACACTCCATCACTATGGCCCTGCTCCCTGATGGTGAGAAATGATTAATACTCATGGATTTGAAGGACAGAAAAACATATATGTCAACAGAGATCAGTTATTACAAAGCACATATTTTAAGAAGGCATGAGTTTGTCTGACTGGTGCTTCTAAAGATTGGTGGTCCTGGAGATTTAAGAATTTTCAGAACTTGTTCCAAATGATTTCTAGCAATTTCCTGACATTGCTATTGGAACTGCTCAAGACAAAAGCTGGTGTATAGAACGTTTTTTAAAAAATAGATTAAACTTTGGCTGAAGTCTGGTTACCAAGGTGCTACAAACCTACTTAACTCACAAGGAGATTTAAAAAGCTACGATCTTCCATACCAAGTTCAATATACTATATGTTTACTGCACTTTCACACTATTTTCATTTTGTTATCCAGGAGGTAGAACTACCAGAAATTTACCTGCATGCATCAAAGGGAAAAAATGGCCTTTTTATTGCTTTAAATAGCTATTCATCACAGTGCACCTACACAGGATCCTGCATTCCCAATCTCTTTCAAAGCATGCAGTGATTTATGCATCATTTTTTTCTAGCTACTTAAATTATTCGCTAGCACATAAAATGATTACAAACCTTCATCACTTCTTCCCACAGAAAATATGAATCATATGAGAAAAATGAGGACTGGGAACAGCTGGCACTGCACTAGTGTGTTTAATGGTCAGATCAGGTGATACACTAGGAGTTCTGTTGTCCAGAGCTCCCAATGTTTTTAAAAACATTGCAATTTTAAAAAATGCAATTGCCAGGTGTACAGGAGGGTCTTTTAGATCAGAACCATAGTGCAAGGGAGAAGGATTTAAGCTCCCCCCCCCCCATTGCTGTTTTCCTAACCTTAGAAAGGGGGTGGGCGGGTTGAAATAAAAAAATACAAATATTTTTCCTGGATGACGCTTCCATCTTTGATCCTTGGAACGACCATTGGTACTTACCCGTGAAGGGTCCTTCTCCTCTGAGGCTCGGAGGACATGTGCATTCCCGCCCAAAAATAGCCCTGCATATGAGAAAAATGAGGACAGGGAACAGCTGGCACTGCAGTAGTGTGTTTAATGGTCAGATCAGATGATTCACTAGGAGTTTTGTTGTCCAGAGCTCCCAATGTTTTTAAAAACATTGCAATTTTAAAAAATGCAATTGCCAGGTGTACAGGAGGGTCTTTTAGATCAGAACCATAGTGCAAGGGAGAAGGATTTAAGCTCCCCCCCCCCATTGCTGTTTTCCTAACCTTAGAAAGGGGGTGGGCGGGTTGAAATAAAAAAATACAAATATTTTTCCTGGATGACGCTTCCATCGTTGATCCTTGGAATGTCCGGTTTCCGCCCTGGTCATGGGACGGAGACTGTGCTGGTTGCCCTTACTGATGACCTCCGTAGGCACCTGGATCGAGGCGGTGTGGTGGCGCTGTTGTTGTTAGATCTGTCGGCCGCATTTGATACGGTCGACCATCAGCTGCTATCCCACTGCCTTGCTGACGCGGGGATTCACGGGCTCGCCCTTCAATGGCTTGCCTCGTTTCTCCAGGGTCGGGGACAGAGGGTTGTGCTAGGGGAACAGCAATCCCAGAGGCACCTGCTTGAATGTGGGGTGCCTCAGGGGGCAGTGCTTTCCCCGATGCAGTTTAATATATATGTGTGTCCCCTCGCCCAGATTGCCCGGAAGCATGGGCTGGGGTGTCATCAATACGCAAATGACACCCAGCTCTATTTGATGTTGGACAGCCAGTCAGACTCCAACCCAGAAGATCTGCACCGGGCGTTACAAGCCTTGGCTTGTATTAAACCTGGCGAAGACGGAGGTCCTGTGCTTGAGTTGAGACTGGGGTTGGGGCTCCCGCTCCCGACCTTCGATGGGGCACCTTTACGATGGAGGCCCAGGTGGCAACCACTGCCAGATCGGCCTTTATCATCTTCGGCTGGTGAGGCGGTTCCCTTCCTCGACCGCAACGACCTAACTACAGTGATCCATGCGACGGTCACCTTGAGGCTAGACTACTGTAACGCTCTCTACATGGGGCTGCCTCTGTCGCAAATCCGGAAGCTGCAGCTGGTGCAGAATGCTGCAGCCAGGTTGTTGGTGGCCGCCCCTAGGTGGGAGCACACCTGACAACCTTTAAAGCCCTACATGGCCTGGGTCCGACATACCTGTGGGACTGCATTTCCCCACGTATTCCCCAAAGAGCACTTCAGTTTGGGTCACAACACCGGCTGGTGACCCCGGGCCCCAAAGAGGCCAGGCTTGCAGCAACGAGGGCCAGGTCTTTTTCAGTGGCGGCTCCTATCTGGTGGAACGAGCTCCCGGAGGAGATCAGGGCCCTGTGGGACATTCTGCAGTTACATAGGGCCTGTAAGATGGAGCTCTTCCGCCAGGCATATGAGTAGGAGCCGCCACTCCTATTACCACCACCGCTCCACCATAGAGTGACACCGCCAGAGGACCGTGTAACATCCAATTGTGGCCTTAACCCTCCCCTCTGCTATGCAAAATGTGGGGAGTTCTCTATTCCTGCATCCTGATGGAATTGAATTTTAACTGCTTTTATCTATTTTATGTATTGTATGCACTTTGTGCTCGTGTAAGCCGCCCTGAGCCCGTTCGTGGGAAGGGGCGGGGTATAAATGCAATGAAATAAAATAACAAATAAATAAATAAAATAAATATTGCCACTATATATTCAAGCTCCTCTCTGCCATAAGAGCAGGAAATTTCAGCAATACCAGAGAGAACATTGGAAATTCAGGCATCTGTCAAGAGAATACAATTTGTGCACATTTAGGTCTGAAGAACCCAAGGCTTAACTTGCCCATTTCTGACCTTTCAAAACACCTGTACCACAAGAAAACTGAAGCACTCTCTCTAAAGCAAAGCTGATCAGTTTAGAAGATAGTTACCAGCATTGACAAATGGAATCCCATCATATGGGACATACTGTGATTTCCACATCAATCTTGTGGCAGGCTTTGCTGGGCTTGGAGACTGCCGGGTTCCCCACACAGTCTGTGTTTGCTGTTTGTGCAGGATTAGAACACTGTCCAATTCCGTCTCGCTTGAGCAATAGCCACGGTAAGAGTCCCCAATTTTCTGCATGAAAAAGAGGGGAAAATAACAGGATAGTTTACCAAACTGGAATGCTTTGGGGTCAAAAGGTCAGTGTTTTCTTGTTAACAGAGGTGAGGACGTTCATTGTCCTTCGAAGGTTCACAGACCCACAACATATGACGAAATCCCCCCCTTGCAAAATCCTGAAAGGATCTTTTCAATCCCCCTAGGTTTAAAATGAAGTCTGCAAGTGTGAAATGAGCCATGATAAAAATGGAACATATTTTTAGAATCTTTTTAGAGGACTCTGAGCTCAGTGATGAGCATGGATGAAAGCTTATTTAGAATATTGTAATATTTCATGCCCGATCTTTACCAGTTTACAGAAGTCTAATAAGAGGTGGGATATAAATTTTGTACATAAAATAAATATACACGCAAAGGAATGTGGCCTCTGCTGTTCTATGAACTGAAACAGCACCCCTATTTTTTTTTAAATGTCTCAGATTTAAGGGAAATGTTCTTCTAGTAGTTTGCCTTTATTTTTTAATTAAGTAAACCCTCGTTCTATACCGAGTGCACATCTAGTCACCAGAAGTCTTTATCCTCAAGTCCCCTTGTTCAGGAGGTACATTCAGCAATACAAACTGCCAGTTCTGCAATCTTATCCACCTTAAAAAAATAATAATAATTTATACACTGCCCTACCCCACGAGTGGGCTCAGGGCAGCTTACAACATAAACCCATAAACAATAAAACCCATAAACAATAAAAGAATAAAAACATAAAACAATTGAGAAACTTATAACCTATTCTTTTCCAAAATAAGCAGAAGATGGTAGGGGGGAGGGAACTGAGTTGTGAAAGGCTGTTCACATTCCACGATATCTACACAAATCCCCTTCTAACTCTCACCTTGGATCAGAGTAATCAAAATGAGACAGAACTTGTAAGGCATAAGAGTCGTCACCTCCTACGTTACTCTGGCTTGTGAGATCAACGGTTATTTTCAGCTTACCTCACAGCTCCTGAGACGGCGAGCCCATGCAGGTATATTTGGGGGCAATGGCTGAGGAGAAACAGGGAAAGGGTCTTCCAATACCCTGAAAAATAATACAAAAATGGATAGACTACCAAACGAAACACGGATAGCCAGCCTAAACACACATCACACAAATATGGACAAGATTGCTGATTTATAATGTTTCAGTGCTTGGGACAGATGTTTGTAAGGAAGACTTGTTTGTGAAGAAGCAAGCCACCAAGACTATAGGTGCTATCATTTCAAAAGACTACCCTGTCTATTCTGCTCAAATTACTGAGATGGGGGTGAGGATGAGACTGAAGAAAGTGGAAGAGAATGGGAGATGGATGAATAATATGCAAGAGGTTACAGTGGACTGCTTTTTCAAAAATGATTTATTGAAGGAGTTTTATAGATGAGGTTTGAATAATAAAAACAATCAAAAATACATACTCGAATGAGGGGGGGAAAGAAAGTCATTGTGAACATTGCATTAAGTCCCGTTTACTTGGGCAATAGTTAAATGGCCTCAAACAGGCAGGGGGTTGTTCTGTTGTATTTGGCAATAGTTAAATGGCCTCAAACAGGCAGGGGGTTGTTCTGTTGTATTTATTTTATAAATGCCATTTTAAAAGTCATGAGCCTTTGAAAAGGGGGTAGGTTATGAATCAGAAGAAGTCAGTTATGAGAAAACACACTGTGATGGCTTCATAAACACCACAGATTCAAGTTCAACTAAAAACCCAATGGGGCGAAACGTCCTTTACTTGGGACTCACATCCCTGTAAAGGAAACGTCCTTTACTTGGGACTCACATCCCTACATTTCAAAGTCTGCAGTCTACACTGTTTTTCCCTGTCAGCAGGAGCCAAGTGGGGGTGGGGGGCGGGGAGCTGGCTGCCAAGGCACTGCCTATCCTGAGAATCACCCTGCCAAGCACCTATCCATCAAAGTTTTTACAAATGCAAATGGCTCTCCCAGCTAATGACAACAAAATGGCCAGATCACACTTTGATTGATATCTGACAGATAGAAGGTGACAGAGACTTGAGATTGAAGAGACTAGAGTGTCTGTTCCTGGGGACCTCAGGAAGAGAAGATCTGACCCAAGGGGGAAGGGCAGAAGAGATAAATCTCCTGGACATGTGAGGAAAAGGGAAACATGTGGGCAAATTTCATCTTGGAGCAACCTGTAGGAGGGAGTTTTCACAACCCCCTCCATTTTGGATGGCAGCCATTACCACACGGAGCAGACAAAGAGCAGGCAGCCCAGAGTAGTATTCCAAGGCAATGGGGAACTTTTAAAATGACTGCAATAACTAAGCTAAATAGCCTGTCCTAGAATATTATCAGCTAGGGCATGCCAGAGACAGGGTCAGGGGATTGCATTTGCACTTTTTTCTTTGTATTCCTTGCTCCATTGCTCTGCGGAATATGTGTGTGAACATTTTCTACTTAAAAGCTGGTGATAGTTTGATATATCATTATTGCTCAGGAGAACACAAGTGTGCCATATGGTCCAGAGGCAGCAGGAAATGGGAGTTCTAGCTGGAGCGTGAAACTAACTAGATTGGGCTTGAAACTGACCAAGATCAGAACATGGGTAAACTAAACAGACAGAGGTCCCCCTCCCTGCAGGTAGTTCCTGAAACTGCCCAGGTGGTGGTGAGCCTACCAACTCTCTGTGAATCAAGCAGGGTTGCCTACAGGAGACCGGGGACGGCTGTTGAGCGCTCAGACCGTTTGGAGGGTGAACTGGGACAGGGACTGCAGGTCAGTGGGACCATTTCCCCACACCTAACAATAATTACCTACCTGGTTGTCGTCTTTTTCGATACCGTGAGAGATGCTTCAGGATGAAATATGTAACTGCTTGTATTGTCGGCTATAGCAGTCACTGCCACAGTTTGCAAATTCCCATTGCAGTTTGTCTCCTGTGAAACATCTTTTTAAAAAATACAACAAATATTCCTCTTTAAGTATATAATGTATACAATGACTCGAGAACACTTGTGCTGAATCATATTTCAGAACAATGCTGGACTGCTTTTTGGATCTGAAGCACGGATACAATTTGCCAGACCTTCAAGAGTACAGGGGTGTTCTTAACAGTGTTCCCTCTAAGCTGAGTTAGTGTGAGCTAGCTCACAGTTTTTTAGACTTTTTCTGTCTTAGCCCAGGAAGGATGGCTTCAGAGCAAACTAATTTATGCAGTAGCCAAATCGCTCGCTCACAACTTTAATGCCAGTGGCTCACAAAGTAGAATTTTCGCTCACTAGATTCCACAGTTTAGAGGGAGCATTGTTTTTAAATTGTAGACAGCCTCCTGTGATGAATTCCGCTCTAATCGAGTCAAACAATAGAGGACAGAACTCTGGGTCTTTGGGCAGGGAAATATGCCTGGCTCTAATCACCTCATAACTACAAGCTCCTTCTTATCATACAGAAGGGGCTTCATGAGACTGGTGCACAATTCTGCAGCTGTTTTTATAGTGTGTTACAAGGGACAGGCAGAAATCCCAAGTCGCAAGAGGACAAGAACAAGACCCCATTCCAGTTTGTGCCAAGTACAATTCACCACTCACACTTCCCACCTCGCAGGGGCAACTTCTGTACAGCCAGGAGCACAGAGCCATGTCTCCAGAAAGAGAAAGGGAAGCAATCCCCCTCTAAGGCCTGCCCTCGCTGAGTTATAAGAAGGTGGCCTCATGAAAGCACAAAGAGACAGGTCACACACACTTTATGCATGCAGCAATATCTGGGGGGGGCGGGTTAAGGTTTTCTTGAGTTTGTATATTCCACTTTGAGTCTCAGGGAAGAAGATAGACAATAAGCTCAGTAAATAAAAGAAAGACCTGTTAATGGAGGCATACGCTTCAGCACCTATTGAGACAGGGATTGCCTAAGAGTTCCTACTTTGTTGCTGTCATTCTATAGATACAGCCAGAAAATCAATCATCATGAATGTAAGAGGGAAAAGACACTTAACTGTAGTGGTAGATCGGAGTCCTCAACCTACGGATATTCCTTGCCTGTTCAATAAAACCTTTATTCTGTTTTGAAAGTTACTCTGTTACTTTCTGTTCTGTTTTGAAAGTTACTCTGCCTCAAGTGCCATTTCAGAAGAGTAAAATAATAAGACAAGACAGCTCCTGTATTTTCCCTCAAGTTCCTGTGCTGGGTCAAAAGCCTAAACAATGATCTTTGCCGGGGTGTGACAATTTAGGTTATTAAGACAAAGAAGATGTACACACTACCTAAGGGCGACTCAGTCACTGAGGGGAAGTAAAGGCAGGAACTAAAGCCAGAGAGCCAGTTTTTTGTACTGGTTAAGTGTGCGGACTCTAATCTGGGAGAACCGGGTTTGATTCCCCACTCTTCCACTTGCAGCTGCTGGATGACCTTGGGCGAGCCATAGTTCTGTCAGAGCTGTTCTTGAAAAAGAGCAATTTCTGTCAGAGCTCTCTCAGCCCCACCTACCTCACAGGGTATCTGCTGTGGGGAGGGGAAGGGAAAGAAGTTTGTAAGCCGCTCTGAGACCCCCAGTGAAGGAAGGAGTATAAATCCAATCTCTTCTTCTTCTAAAGTTTGGCAGGAGAATCTGCCTGGGAGTAGGGAAGAGACAGGGTTCTGTCATATATACATTTAGGATATCCCCACTTTCAGAAGAGTTTGAGGCCAAGAGTGATGCAGGTAAGTAGACAATAGCAAGAGGAGAGGGCAGGCACTCAGCTGCTTGCCTGGGGCAAATTGATATTCACTGCAAGGTGAGTGGCAGATTATGTGACTGAACACATTTCTTATACCACATGGCAGAATCACTTTCCCAAATTTAAATGGTGGTGACCATTCAGCCAAGGGTCCAATTTCAATGCAAAAGCTATAATTAAGTTCTTAATTCTCAAGCCTGTAAATTCAATTATATACTGGAGATATATGTCCATGAGCAAGCACAGACCTAATGCTAAACGGGCTGGATTCTTACCACGCCACTCAGATAAGCATGGACCTTTCTTCCAGTGCAAGGACTTCCTATTGGAAGACCAGCCTGTTCCACCAGAGAAGACCGCACACTGAAGCTGAGGGGAGTGGCACTTATTATTTTAGGTAGCAACATTTATACCCCACCTTTCTGCCCTCATAAGGCCATCAAGGCGGCAAACAAATTAAAACACGCATAATTATACTTCATTTTAGGATCCAATCCACTGTGTTTACCTAGTAATATACTCTTAAATCCAATCTCTTATTCTTCTTCTAAAGTTTGGCAGGAGAATCTGCCTGGGAGTAGGGAAGAGACAGGGTTCTGTCATATATGCATTTAGGATATCCCCACTTTCAGAAGAGTTTGAGGCCAAGAGTGATGCAGTGCAAGGACTTTCTATTGGAAGACCAGTCTCTTCCACCAGAGAAGACCACACGCTGAAGCTGAGGGGAGTGGCATTTTTTATTTTAGGTAGCAAAATTTATACCCCACCTTTCTGCCCTCATAAGGCCATCAAGGCGGCAAACAAATTAAAACATGCATAATTATACCTCATTTTAGGATCCAACCCACTGTGTTTACCTAGTAATATACTCTACTGACGCCAGTTTGAACTTACTTCCACGTTAATGCATTGAGATACTGAGAACAGGGCTTCACATCTCTCAAGTACAATTCCCTTACCTCCTGAGCTACTGACATCCAAAAGCTGGCCTTGGGGAATAATCACTTGTGCAATCCCTGGCTGAGTAGAAGGAAGAACATGGAGCACTTGTCCATTCTCAGAATGGCTGGCAACGATCATCTTTGAAGCAAACAAAGAAGAAGGTTCACGGGAATCACGGATTAGTAGGAATCAACTGACTGATCCATCTATCACAATAACCTCTTTGGAAGCGTGACAGTGTTTATACTTGTTAAGCTTTACGTATCAACTGCTGATAATTAGAGATGATTATTCTGCTTGAACAGAATTTAATGCATACTCTACTGACGCCAGTTTGAACTTACTTCCACGTAATGCATTGAGATACTGAAAACGGGGTTTCACATCTCTCAAGTACAATTCCCTTACCTCCTGAGCTACTGACATCCAAAAGCTGGCCTTGGGGAATAATCACTTGTGCAATCCCTGGCTGAGTAGAAGGAAGAACATGGAGCACTTGTCCATTCTCAGAATGGCTGGCAACGATCATCTTTGAAGCAAACAAAGAAGAAGGTTCACGGGAATCACGGATTAGTAGGAATCAACTGACTGATCCATCTATCACAATAACCTCTTTGGAAGCGTGACAGTGTTTATACTTGTTAACCTTTACGTATTAACTGCTGATAATTAGAGATTATTCTGCTTGAACAGAATTTAATGCATGTGCGATAACATTGTATCAGATCATTAAGTCATTGTAAAACATTTAACAGTACAAAATTACAGAGAATGAAATTACAGAGAATAGCCTGAAACTTTGTTTGGAACACTGATATAAAGAGGCGGCTGTATGCAAATTAACAAAGGGAAAGGTAGAAGGAAGTTGTCCAGATTATTAGCTAGTTACACCGCCATCCAAAAATCACTTTCCTGGGAACAAGCCCCAATTAGTAGACCTGCCTGTCTTAATTACACATCAATGACAAATGCTGGTCTAAAGACAATAATAAACAACCACTACTACATCAATGACAATTCACCAGAGAACAGCAGATCAAAATGGGATGGAGAGAAGAGATCAATAGAGAAAGTCAGAACAAAGCTTCATTTCAGATGAAAGAAGGGCTACAAGCCTGTTTGAAATTACAGGTTCATTTATATTTCATAAAATAATCAGAAACTGCTGAGCTTTAGGCCTGAATACAAAAGAGAAACAAGACTCTACTAAGATGTATTTGTTGATGGAAAATGCTTGTGCTACTCTCTCAATTATCTGAAGGCTATTAAGAGAACAATCCTAAACAGGTCTACTCAGAATCCTATTCAATGGGGCTAAACCTTCTACTCTAGGATGCAGCAAAACACATCTAACAGTTGCATGTGTGAAGACGTGCTCACCATGTGAGTACCAGACCCCTCTAAGGATTGTACTTCATAAAGGGAATGGCAGTTTTGGTCTACAAGTTGAAAATCTTCCACAGGAAAAGGAGGTGGCTGACATAGCTGTATTTGTGCATGTGCTGATGGAGATGCATCATCTATTGTTTGCAGGAGTCCATGCGACATGTTCTGTCCAAATGATGCGTTCTTGCTTTCCAGGCATGTTAGATGCTGACAAAGAGAAAGACTATTTTATTTTTTTTTCCAGGCATTTATTTCAATCAGTTTTGAAACAAAAATAAGGCCTATACTTCCTTACTCGTTTAGGATAAGAAGTCTCAAACTAAACATGTTTCTTTCTACCAGGTAGAGGAGGAAACCAAAATTTCCATCAGTCCTCCTGCCCCCCCAAAGTCTTGAATGAAGTAACTGCACTGTATTAAGATCCTTCTTGCTCACAAACAATTTCAGTTTGTATTTCCACTTGTACAGCCAATGAATGTGTTAAATAGTGGGTTCCATGGATGAACAGGCTCGAATCTAGTGATCAGCTCAACTCAACTTTATTTGTGATTTCAGCAACAGCAAGACTCCAGAGCCTCAGCTCCGTTAAATAGCATGCAATTGCTACACCCAAACACACCCCCTTCCCAGTGATAGGCTATTTACATAACGTTACTACTAATTGGTTACATTCAGAATCCTGGTAGGCTATTGTTCTTGAGCTCCAAGCTCAGCCAGTCTCTGGGATGATTCAATCAGGGATGATTCAATCCCAATACATAACAGAATGCTAGTGGATGATTTCTATACAAAGTAAACCAGGCATCAAGGCTGTCTGGAAGCTACAGTGACTCACTAGTAAATTAAAAACAACTATGACCTGATTGCAGGCATAGGATGATTTTAAAAAATAGCAAAGATGTAATAGCTTGCTAAGCAAAGGACAGTGACACAGTGCTCCCCAAAAGTGTTCATGCTTATAAATATTCTGTGCACAATTGTTTGTAAAGGAATTCATGACAGAACCAAATATCTTTCCACCATTTCTGCATCTAAGGTTCTGAGACTGTTACAGTACAATCCAAAATACAGTAATGATCTCAGAAGGATCAAGTGTACAGCTGAACTTTTATTGAAACAGATTGTGCAGGTGTATATAAAGGGATCCTGCACCATAATAACCATAATTCAGCAATGTTTGCAGACATTTCCTTTAAAGCTGCATGAAACAGATAAAAGACACAAAATCATTTGCTTATTTGTATGGGCATTATGCTGTTTTGTTTTTGTCTGTGAAGAATAGATGCTTTTGAATTATGGTCCTGGAGAAGTCTCTTGAGAGTCCCTTGGACTGCCAGGAGATCAAATCAGTCAATCCTAAAGGAAATCAACCCTGACTGTTCCCTGGAAGGCCAGATACTGAAGCTCAAATACTTTGGCCACCAAATGAGAAGGGAGCATTCACTGGAGAAGACCCTGATGCTGGGAAAGATTGAAGGTCAAAGAAGAAGGGGACAACAAAGGATGAGATGGTTAGACAGTGTTATTATTGCAATGAAGACAGGAGGGCCTGGCGTGATGTGGTCTATGGGGTCGTGAAGAGTCCGATTCAACTGTGCGACTGAACAACAACAGAATGTGCGCGTGCTGCATTTGTATTTTTCAGTTTCTAGGTGTGGTCTTCACATGGCTAGGTTCCAATTTTACTGAGGCAGGGACTGACTGAATGTGAAACATATTTGGGTCAAACAAGTGCGGCAAAGCAATGAATATTTTTATTAGAGAACAGAAAGTTGGATTCTGTCAACTTTTCCCACTCAATCTTACCTAATTCCCCTCCTTACTATAGCCCCTGTCCAATATACCTTTTGTCCATGCCAGTCCCATGATCCCCAGTATAGCCTTTTGGTGTTTTTTCCCCTCCCCTTTTCACCAGTGGAAAAGCCGGCTGGATCCAACCCAGAAAGTAGGGTCGCCAACCTCTAGTTGGTGGCTGGGGATCTCCTGCTTGTACAACTGACCTCCAGGCAACAGAGATCAGTTCACCTAGAGAAAATGGCCACTTTGGAAAATGGACTCTATGGCATTATATCCCATTGAAAGCCCTCCTCTCCCCAAACCCTGACTTCCTCAAGCTCCACTTCCAAGATCTACAGGTATTTCCCAACCCAGAGCTGGCAAATCTACCAGAAAGTTATTTGCAAACTTGCCAATAAGGCATTAATTCTGACTTCTTCAATTACGTGATTTTCAAACAAGGGAATATGAAAAGGCAATAGTTTGGAAAGCAGGTCTTGTCCCTGGATGCCTGAAATGAAACAAAAGAAGTCAGTGCAAGTAGGTCATAACTGTGCTCTTACCTGGAAGGCCTGGCCTCCACTTTCCAATCCTTCTGCATTATTAGAGTTGATTACCAGGTAGTCACTGTCTTTTTCCACGTTATCACGGTCAATGCCATTTACTTCCATTGCAGTGCAGGCTAGAAAAGAAACATTCTTCAGTACTTGAAATCTTATCCCTGCAAAAATGTGTTTAAGCAGAATCCTATATTTTCTTTTTTCCCATATTTCGCAAGTAGATTTCACACGTTAGAGACCAAAGTTTGGAACTAGTGATTAAACACTCCAAGGCCTTCTGAAAGCCCTGCTCTTCCTTTGCAAAAAATAAAATGTCCTCACACTATTTCTCAATTTCCATTTAAATAGAATGTCAATTAAACCAAAAATGACTAAATAGCTACCAAGTAATAATCAGAAAGAAATGCAGTTTTAATTTTTAAGTTTCCAGTGCTCAGAACGGCTGGCATACATTTGAAGCATTTATGGTAAAAATACGAATAGATTAGAAAGGAACAAGAAAGTAAAAAGCCCAAACAATCTTATGTTTTTTTCATGACAATAATGAGTACATACGTTAAATACCAGGTCCTCGCCAATTGCTGATCACTCATCTGAAACCTTTTACTTATTTTTTTCCATTGACTCAAGTCACATTCATTTCAAAAAGATTTTCAAGCTTCACAAAATACACTTTGGGTGCGGTCAGACGGTGTGCTGAGAGCAGGTTAAACTGCTCCGGGTCTAACCGGATTATATTTGATCTGGATAATCGCGAGCACACTTACCTCCCTTATCCCGCCTCACTGCACAGTCCTGTCACTCCCCGGCGTCTACACTACCGACGTGCAGGAGCATGTGTTCGCAGGTTCCCCCCCACCTCACTTTTCGCCTTCACCA